TTCACAGGTTGTGTCCGGCGACAAGGATGATGAAGATGAACAGAAGTATAGTACAAACAGCAATCGAAGAGATGAGGTTAGTGCGAAATTGAGCTTTTATGCTTTAGGTTCTTAAAGTGAATCGAGATTTTGTGTTTGGGTTTTGTAGGAAGAAAACAATGAACAATGGGGATCCGGTGGATCAAATACTTCTAGGCGACCTCAACAGGTAATGTTAAGTTAATTTGCCGATTGTGGATCAGTGGATCGATCTGTTTTCTGCTAATCGACATACATAAAGTCAACAAGTTCAATTGTTGACGAAATTGTTAGATCATTTTGATTGAAGTTTCCTGTTCATATGCGTTCATGTTATTGAAATGTCTGAATTGTAACATAATGTAAGAAATGTCTGAATTGCAGGTTGCGAATGATTATAATCAAAGGTATCCTGATCAAGAGGTAGTTTAGTTGTTCTTACAAATCTATCACTATTGTTAATAACTTCATATCCAACAGTTTAAGTTCATGAATACAGACTGAAGAGGAAAACAATGATGGCTGGGAGACAGTTGGGAAGAAGAAGCCTGCAAGAAAACACCAACAGGTTATTACATTATTAACTTATTCCATTCTTCTTTAACTTCAAATAACAACATCTATTAACTAAAAAACTCACAGGTTCAAAAAGACAATTGGGAAAACTTCAAACTTCCTGCAAATGAGCAAGAATATTCAAATGAAATTTCACATACTTCTCAAATGGAACCCTCAGAAGATGAACTCAATGACCTTAGCCAAGCTTGCAACAAGCTATGGGAGCTTGATTACAACCGTTTAACACCTGGAAAAGACTATGAAATCGACTGTGGTGAAGGAAAAAAGACATACCAAAAGCAAGATATGGCAGAAGGAAGCCTCTTCACTTGGCTAAGTGAAGATGTTCTAAAAATACCTACAATTTCTCGATTCTGTTCTCTTTTAGATAACTATAATCCACATGAAGGGTATAAAGAACAAGTGACTTCTCAAGAGAAACAAGAACAAGCTGGTTTCATTGAAGAGATATGTAGAACTGCACCAATTATATACCTTTTTAAGTATCTTTGTGCTAAAGGTATAGTATCCCATGATTATGCGGAGTTTAAAGGGCTTTTGACAAGTCTTTGGTTTGATTTATATGGTCGTGGTGGCACCTCTAGTTGTTCTTCGGCTTTTGAACATGTTTTTGTTGGAGAAATCAAAAGTCGCGGGGAGCAGTCGGTTTCAGGCTTCCATAATTGGCTTCAGGTCCGTCTTTTTAGGCTGCATTTGTTACACAGGATAAAAAGTTGCCTTTTTTGTCCAATTGACACCGTCTCATCTTGTTCCACCTTTTTCTGGGAGATAAAAAGTAACCATTTTTTTCCCGGTACTAGTCCTACTGTGTTCCACTTTTTTGTACAGGACAAAAAGTTAACATTTTTGTCTCATCAACATCAGTACTGCAGTAGTACTATAGTGTTCCACTATTTTGTATTGGACAAAAAGTTAACATTTTTGTCTCATTAACATCAGTACTGTACTAATCCTACTGTGTTCCACTTTTTTGTACAGAACAAAAAGTTAACATTTTTGTCTAATCAACATCAGTACTATATACTAGTCCTACTGTGTTCCACTTTTTTGTACAGGATAAAAAGTTAACATTTTTGTCCCATCAACATCAATATTGGTCCCATCTTTTTTGGTGGAAGAAAAAATTGTCCTTTTTCTTTTTTTTTTTTTTTTTTTTTTTTTTTTTTTTTTTTTTCCGTATACTATCTTATTTTATGAATTTTATTTTTGGAATTATATCATGTGGGATTATTTAATCTAAGAAATTATTTTATGTATGAAGTTTTACATGGAAGAAGCAAACGGGAGAGTCGATTATCAGGGCTATATCTTTCCGCGAAGGCGTGGGGAGACAGTAAGCAAACCCTCATCTATTCCTCTTTCTACTTTTTCAAAATAGTTATCAGATAATCTTTCAACGGAAAATTGCACAAAATTAGCATCGTACTTTACTCTTTTAATATTTTTTTTACCAATATATACAATATAGTTTATTTTTTTTGACCTATAATAACAATACCAATATGCAACAAATAAATTACAATCTCCATAAAGTACGTTGCTATTGTGGGTAAAGAACTCGTGTAAAAAAAATATAACTATATGTTGCGATTTTTGGTAAAGAAATGCAAGTTCATTGTGAAAAAAATAAATAACTTATGTTGCTAGTTTAAATAAATATTAATAAAGTACATTACGTATATTGGCAGCCTGACTCTGAGAGTCAGTTGCTGACAATCCAATTTGAATGGAACGGTGTGTTGAAATCGGTATCGAGCACATTGATTGGAGTGAGCCCGGAATTTGAGATTGCTTTATACACATTGTGTTTTTTTATGGGAGGTGAAGAGAATTATGTTGAACTTGGTCCATACTCCGTGAATATCAAGTGTTATCACCTTGGAACTAAACTTGGATCCGCTTTTCCCGTTGCGGATTCTTGAATCGTATAATATTTTGTATTTTTTTTTCTTTTAATTTGTGAAATTGTGTAATTTGATAAAGGATTGATGTACGATATAACTTGATAATTTGATGATTGTTTTTTATTTTGGAACTCAAGAATTTGATATCTCTAATTGCTTTAATGGTTTTACTCCATTTCTAAAAAAGTTAGGCAAAAGTAGGAGAAAACTATAAGATGGTCAGATTGTGAGGGTGTCATAATTTATCAAATTATGCTCGTAAAAATATCTAATGGAACTCAATCTTTCAACAATGAGAAAATGATTGGAATTTAATTCAATGGATTAATTTTAGGATAAAATGTTGAAATTCATTAACTTAAAAATCAAACAATATAAAAATCAAAACATTGTTTTTTAAATGGACAGAGGAAAAATACAAGTGGAAATGTCGAGATGTAAATTCTAATAAAACATAATTCGGTATTATGTGAAACCAAGCACCATAATGGAATGAAATTAAATGCCGATTTTTCCCAAATATTCAAGCACCAAACGCCCTCTTGAAACTTGTTTCGAAAACAACCGAAAAGTAACAATTATTCGATAACACGAAATTAGAACACATGGACATTATATTAAGAGTGTTAGGGTTAAGAACTTCATCAAACAATTCAATAATTTGACACAACAGAGTAATAATGCAAAACGAAAAATAAGATACAATATTTAACACGCTTCACATGATTAGGATGAGAGAGAGAGATTTTATTAACTGACCCATGACAAAATTGAAGGTAAATATGATATAAGAATTAGCATATGAAAAGTTTCTTCATGGGTCGTCCCAGGGAACTCATGATTGATTTGTCTAACGGCTATTAGGGGTGTACGCGGTACGGTTTCGAGCCAAAACCGCAAATTGCACCGCATATGCGGTTTGAGTTATTTAGAAACCGCAAACTGCACCGCGAACCTGCTAAACCGCATTATGCGGTGCGGTTTTGTGCGGACGATTTATGCGGTTTACATGCGGTTTGACTAATTATTTAATTTAAATTTAATGACAATACTATCATTGTCGTCACTAATAACTCACTGAGTGGTAATTAAAAATTTTGGTGGTCATAGAATTATGATCTTTAACTACTTATCAATATATATAAGTTACGACGATTAAAATAATGGTCGTTAAATGTTAGTTGAAAATGGATTTGTGACAAAAACAAAAAATAGTCACTGCATTATATTTTGGATTAATTAAATTTAAAGAAATATTATTACTTTTCAAAAACATAAGATAATGCCACTAAATTAGGATGAATTGAATTAATAAACATTATACTTGTCAAAAAGATATATGTGGTATACATAGGTTTTGAGGAAGAACTTCTTATAAATGGTTACACATATGTGAGCTTGCATGCCAAGACTTTAATTTCAAGTATAATTCAGGTTTTGTGTTTTGTTTAATTAGATGAATTTGTTGTTAGCTTGAAAAGTTCAAAGCATATAACCATTGACGATTCCATTCAGGAAGCTGAGTTTATAGCATCATTGAGTGCAACAAAAGTTGTCTGTATTGAGAAGTTCATATTAGAGCTCAACATGGTTTCTTCACAATAGTGGTGTGATTGCTTGAATTAACGTTACATGCATTTGTTGTGATGGGAATCATAACAAACCAAGACTAGTGTAAACGTATGACTGATCATATTAAATCATTATTTCTTAAAATATACTTTTAGTTGAAGTATGATGTATAAAAAGGCTTTTTAGTCCCAAAATGACAACCATATGGTAAGTAGGGTTGTAAATAAGCTGAGTCCAGTATTGACAAGCTCAAAAATCGGCTCGAATAAAAAAAAAAAAACTCGAGCTCGAACTCGATTGAGCCTTAATATTCAAGCACATGCTCAAACCGATAAAGTAATTAACACTTTAAAGCACATGCTCAAACTCGATAAAGTAATCTAACCTGGTCTAACTTGATTAGATGTGATTAATGAAATATGAATAGAATAGAGCGTAAAAGTGTAAATGTAACTAAACTCAATTAGCTTGAGAGCTTCACTAGGCCAATAATCTAATGTTAGAACTTGACTCGATAAGATACTCCAGTAGCTTGAACTCAAGCTTTATTGGTTGGCTAATTGGTCACATTTTGATGAAGTGGATTGGATTGTTATTAATTTGGTTATACAAAATCAATCTATGCGATCTATTTCATGAACCACATCAATTCCTATATTCCTTATTTCTTTTATTTGCATTTTTATCAGCGTGTTTATCGTGAAAAAACCTTAAAGTTAAATGTTAAGATGTTATATATTCATGTACATTTACATTTGAACAATAAAACAAACATTAGTAATCTCAATATAGGTTTATAATAGTTTTTAATTAGGTTGCGAAACTAATTTGAAATTAATGATTTTGAAAATTTCAACAAAGAAGTGTCGTGAAAAACTGAAAAACCCCTATTTAAATAATTTAAATCGCACAAAATATTATCTTTGTCCTAATTTCTCTGGACTTTTGAATAAAATCAAAACATAGAGCAAACTGCAAACAAATACAAAAAGAAAAGACAAGAAAAATGAATATTCGTCGTAATTTCCATTGCATATATTTAAGGGTGCACAAGCTTTCATCTTCAACAAGTCTTACTCGTGGGTGTTTCAACAAGTCTTCTTCGTGTAGACCCAAAAGGTAGTTGATTTGTGGTCGACCTGAGCTCATAAATGATGGCCAAAGTGGTGGTGGTTAGCGGCATCGTGGCGGTGCTTGGAATAACATCTATGGTAGCAGGTTTTGCTGCTGAACCTACTAGGATTAAGGTAACAATAACACCAAAAAAATTCATCATGTTTCCATAACATCAACTCATTGATTCGATCACAATAGTCATGACCATGTTCGTATGTTGCACCTAATGCAGGCATCAAAAGTTTATATCGAGCATTTATCATGTGCTTATCCTAGTAGTCATGCTATCCGATTTGGAATATTGGCGCTTGTGTGCACAATAATAAGTCGAATCCTTTTACTCATTGTAGTCGGGTGTTGTTGTCGTCCTAGTGGCTACACATCAACCCCGATCAAAAACAGTAACGTCTTCAATATCTTGTCATGGTATGTGAAATTTTAGATTGTTGGACTTTTTGGAGTAAATTACACAAATGTCCCTATGGGTTGGGGTAATTTACACACTTGATCCTAAACTTATTTTTTTTAACTTGGAAGGTCTCTATTATTTGTTTTTGTTACGCATTTGGTCCATACTATTTGCTTTTGTTACGCGCTTGATCCTTATCTTACGTAAAGACTATTATTTAAATATAAAAAAATGGTGGGGTATATAAGGTAAGGTGAATGGGTGGGGTTGAGGGTATGTTTATTTAAATAAATTAAAAAATCAAGGGAAACATAGTGTTTTTAGGTAAGATATGGATCAAATACATAACAAAAACAAACAATGAGAATCTTTCGAGTTAAAAAAAATAAACTAGAGACCATACATGCAAATTACTCTAAACCATAGGGACCATTCATGTAATTTATGCAGTTAAAAAAAAATAGATATATATTTTGAGAACAACCAACGACCAGGACAAAAATTGCAATTTGTTGCCCTGTCCAAAAAAGGAAAGGACACACTCACATCTAAGCCTGGCAATCGTGTCGTGTTCGGGTTGGCGTGTCGCGGGTTGGTGGGTTGGCGGGTCAAAATATACCAACCCAAACACGACCCATTTAACTATACAGGTCACGGGTTGGCGGGTTTGGAACATAAACTCATATATGACCCACCAACCTATTTATTCATACGGGTTTACAAGTTGGCGGGTTCATGGGTCAGATTTGGGTTCGTGGGTCCAAATTTTAGATATTTAAGTCTTAAACATCCAAATGAAAATTAAAAACATTCATAGAAACATGTTACAGACTTAGCCTTATAGGTTACGACTTATGACCTTAGACCATCCACCACGAGTAATAATATCAAAACAATCAAATGATCTATGAATAAATTGTATATATTATATAATACTTATTAAATATTAATACTTGATACATAAATACATTTAAAAATATAATTTTTTTTTTATTAAGAATATAAATGGGTTGGCGGGTCAACCCGTTTATTTTTTGAGAAACTCATATATGACCCGTTTAATAAACAGGTTGACGGGTTAGCGGGTTGGCGGGTTGAAAAACTCAACCCAAACCCATTTATTTCGTGTCGTGTCGCGTGTCGTGTCGAGAATTGCCAGTCCTACTCACATCATCAAAAGTAATACAAAAATCTTGACTAGTCGGGTGTTGTAAATTTTTTTGAGTTGACATGATTTTTTTTTTTTTTGGAAAAATCAAGGATAGCGTCGGTTGTAGCAGTGATTCTATTTTTAGCAGGTTTGGTGATATATAATCAAGAGCGCATGCAAGAAAAATACCATGGTAGGCTTACGTGCGACGTCGTAAAGCCTGGGCTCTTTGTATCTGGTGCCTTGTTTTCATTTTTTAGTTCCTTTTTCGGGATTGTGGCTTATACTTCTGTATCTTCGTCTATACAAACAACCTCACAACTTGACATTGAGCTACCCGTTGGTGATGTTGATGTAGAGAAAAGCCCCGTGCATCCATGACAATACTAAGAATCGAAACAACATAAAAGCATGGTTCATAGCATTTGTAGGTGTTAAATTTGTCAAACGTTTAATAACGGAAAAACAGTAGATATATGGGTGGTTTTTGTATAACAACAAATGGACATTATCTATTTGAACGTCATTTGCAGTTCATATATATCAGTTTCCATAGAACTTTTATCCAAAAATGAATGGTTTTTAGAACAAATTAAAATTTGATTGTTAAAAACGAGAAGAATATCCAAATATAATGGTTTTTATGTTATTAACCAAAAAGAATAATTAATAAGTAGTAACAAAATAAAAACAAATTATTACTAAAATTGTATGAGTTGTTTTTCAAAAGATTAAAACCCAAATAAAATTACATTGAAATGAAAAATATATCCAATTTGTCATTAACCGTCACAAGTAATAGAATAAGAATTAAATTGCAAACAAATCACAATTGATATATCACTTCATTAATTTATCACAAAAATAATACAAACAAATCAATAGAAATGCTCTTGTAGAGTACGGCTGTTTGTTTATTTTTGTAAGTTGGCCATTAAAAAACATTTCATAATTCAAAATGATACATTTTCACTTACTTGATGAGACATTAGACAATTTGTCCGTTAAAAATAAAACAAATTTTAGATAAAAACATTAAAATCGATTCACAATTTCAATAAAAAATAATAATTCACAACCTTATACGACTTGGGTTCCATTCATGTTAAAGATAAAACCAATTCATATTTTCATATAATTTCATAATTTTTAATAAAGATAAATTTTAATTTGAGAACAACAAATTCCATACCCAAAACTAGTCAGATTACAAAATTTCTACTTTTAAATCATGAAGAATAATAAATGTATTGAAGATTGAAGACACTTGACAATTACATCACAAAATTGAAAACAAATGTAAAACAAAATCACACATCCAAATTAATCTAAATAACAAGATAATCTAAAAGCTATTATTAATCATGTATAGTATGATCAAAATGAGATTTAAAAACAAATAAAAATCATAAATTTGAATTCCTCTTACCGGAATGAGATTGAGATGTTAGAAATTCAAGCATGATTCAACCTTAAAAAACAAAATTCTTTTATTTATTTCTATTAGGACTTTAGGGATAGACAACCTTCAAGGGGGTGGATCGTTGTTTCTGTAGAGTGATAAGGAGAGGATTTCATATCTCGTTCATATCCTTCCCCCTTTTGGCAAATCCATCTTTTTCGATTTTCAACTTTCAAGTTATGATAAGGTGTCATGTTCGTATTAACGATCAAATTCGAAAAATTCATATTATACAATTCATTAACAAAGAACAACAAACTAATTAACACCAACAAAAAACTATAGGGCCCTATAAGAGAGGGGGTTAGTGTGTTCACCTCACCATGTATGACGTAGCCAGGATTTTGTTTTAGGGTATGACAAATAATATACAAAATATGATGATAAATTTCTTTAACCCTAACTTCTTTTATTTAACAAAAATATATATTGTACATACAATATATATATATATATATATATATATATATATATATATATATATATATATATATATATATATATATATATATATATATATATATATATATATAACCTTAATTTTTTGTGGGTAGGTCAAAGCCCACTCTTGCCCTATATTGGCTACACCCTGGGCTTATCTAAGTGAAATACATTTTTTTAACTAAAAGAAATAAAGATTCTTTATTAAGTTGTTTGTACATACATTCTTGTGTTATAACTATAAACGAATATTTGGAAATGAATTATAACTAGTTAACTAACTCTTGTTCATTAATGTATTCTTAACTATATTTTGGTAAAAGAAGAAAAAAATAAACTATACATGTCAATCACGATCTAAGAGCTAAGGTCTTCAAACAGAATATTCGAAGACTATTTTTAAGTGGAAAGCAAAATTATATATTGCAAGATGAAAAACGTTATTTTTTAAAAGTAAAAATGAACTATACATAGTAAGATTTGAAAGAGAAAACTTGCAAAGGTAAATTTTCCTGCAATGACCACATGTTATCGCATAAAATTGCACCAAGACAAAGACGACTTCTCTCGTCGCTACACGTCATGTTTTTATAGATGATCCTTTTGAATAGATAAAAATGTTTTTGTGTATCTTAACTATATAGAAAATGCTTGGAATTGAATTCCATGTCTTTAGAATATTCTAACCCACCAAAGGATTTTGTGAATTCCAGTAAAATCCAATTATATGCTCTTTTGTTATATTAATCCAAACCCCTAAATAGAATGGAATTGAGTATCAATCCAGATCAAATTTCACAAAGTCGACAGGAAAGTGGAAACAAAAAATAACTAGCATTCTGATACCACGAATTTGGGACAAATTAGATTTTGTTATATCGTATTTGTACCATTACACAAGAAAAGATCAAGCATTGACGAACATTTCAACCCATAGAAACAACGAAAACAGATGCAGAAACTGCATAACTTCATATAGAACGACCTCCAATCGCCATTCTCTTTTATACAAACTTTATAGAAAACGGGGTTCGAACCAAGTATTTACCCGAACTCCAAGCCATAACTCCTTGGCCATAAGGAACATCGATCTTCACCTTACTATCCCACATAAACGTTACCTCATACGTTAACTTTTGGTTCACTGCTGTGAACACCAAACGAGGATAGCTAATGGCAAGAGTTACTCCATATGGGACACTAATATTTTTCGCCGATAGAACATAATTCGAATTAGCCTCACCAACATTTGTCACTGTTCTTGTATATGTTTTCTTTTGGCCCTTTGCTAATGTGATTGCAAAAGAAGGATAGTTTAATTCTGCTTCTGGGATGGTTTTCGAGCATGAAACACTTTTTGACACAATGATTCCAACTTGTTTGCTAGTATAACCGAGCCCACACAAATAAGGAATGTACTCATCAGGCTCAATGTCGAAAACAAGCCCCGGATCATTGGCTTTTGATGGATTTACATGACCCGAACCAATGGCAAAGATGTCTGCAGGGAGCTCGCGTTCATCTTCAATCGGTTGACCGTTTAGGCTAACTTGATCGGCCGTGGTCATGATCGCAGACTTAATAGCCGCGGGTGACCAATACGGGTGAGCGGCTTTCAACAATGCCGCTATGCCAGCGAGATGCGGGCAAGACATTGAAGTGCCCGACTCAATGTTAAATGTAGCGAGGCTTTGTGTGTTGTTCTCGACAGACACAGGCCACGCTGCAACAACACTAACGCCAGGGCCAATAATGTCGGGTTTCAGGATTCCTGGGCTCGCCAGGCTTGGCCCTCGTGAAGAAAAGGAAGTAACTGTGGGAGCCGAATCAACGCCGATTAAAGTCCCGCGAAATACCAAAGTGGCCATGGGGGACGCGGTCGAGTTTAAGTACGCCTTGATCGCTAATCCTCCCTTGTAACCGACATGTGATGCGGGAAGAAAATGAGCATCGGCTAATGTACTTGCGCCATCGGACTCTTGGTTCAAAAGAATCATCCCCATGCCTCCCGCATCCTTAACCGTTTTCCCTTTTTCAAGTCTAGCGATCCCGCCACCTCTATCGCACACGACAAGCTTCCCTTTCACATCAACGTTGTCCAATGATCCTTCCGCACACCATGCGGTATCTTGAACCCCATTCGAGCCTGGGTACACCAACGGGAGTAGGGTTTTGGGGAAATCTTTAGGTTGGAATAAAGATTCACCATCGAGGGAATCCTTGTTTCCGAGAGAAACGGATACGGCTATTTTCCGATCGAGTGTGCTAGCCCCTACGGTGAGAATCCACGGAGCCTCGTTCGATAATGTTGAATTAAACGGGCCCGAGTTAGCGGCCGAACATGCTACAAAAATACCTTTTTGTATAGCATTAAATGCACCTAACGCGATCCCGTCTTCATAGAAGGGAGCGGATTCGGCACCAAGTGAGAGTGAAAGCACGTCAACACCGTCTTCAACCGCGGTATCCATGCCTGCTAAGATTGCGCTCTCCGCACAATCTTCCACCGTACACACTTTATACATTGCCAAGTGTGCGAGTGGGGCCATCCCCACCGCGGTCCCTTGAGCGTTTCCAAATACATTTGCATCATTGACGAAGTTTCCGGCCGCGGTGCTTGAAGTGTGGGTCCCGTGTCCGTCTTGATCAAATCGCGTACCGTTTTCACCCTCGGTGAGATCCCGCAATCCGATCAATTTGTTATTGCATCCTGAAATTTCACATTTTCCTTTCCATTTTGCTGGTGGAGGAGAGACTCCGGTGTCATCGAAAGAAGGATGGCCTGGAGTTGTTCCGGTGTCTAGAACACCGATGATCACCCCTTTTCCATAGTTGGAATTAGCCCAAAACCCTAAGTTTTGGTGCAAGCCCAAGAAGTTGGGTGTATGGGTTGTTTGAGTCTTGTAAAATCTTTGAGGTCTTGCGGAGACAAACCCGTTCATGGATTCCATGGCCTTCACATGCTCCACTGACAGTTTTGCTGCGAAACCGGTAAGCACATTATGATATGCAAAAACCATTGTTGGTTGGTCATTCGAAACTGTAGTGGTTTTCGGCAAAAATGAGTTGTACCAGCTTTGGCGATCTTCTTTTTGATAAAATTCGAGATCATTGGGTGAGGTTAAGTGGACAATGTAGGTTTCAAGGTCTGCAGCGTTGGAAGAAGAGAAGGTTAAAAGGGTAGTCAGAGCGAGAACTACTATGAACGCCATCAATGGCGACATGTTGTATCTATTAGTCTTGGTTACTTTAGATAGTTATGAGGACATATTTCTGTGATCATTCAAGAATGTATATATAGAGCAAATGGCATGAAGACGCATAGCCGGCCAGTTAATATATGTGCATGAATGACGTCGTTGACGTTCGATTAATCGGCTTGCCGGATTTTAGTTTGTAAGCGTCGAAGATATCATCAGGAATCGTTTGAGTGGCCGGAAAGTGGTGTAAATTAATTCAATTTTTGGTCGTTTTCATATAGTTTCGAAGCTCAAATAATGATGGTTGAAAGCTCATTTTGGATTTAGAAGTATTAAAGGATGGGAAGATTGCGTTTGTTTTTAAGTTTTAACAAATACTCTCTCTCTCTCTCTCTCTCTCTCTCTCTCTCTCTCTCTCTCTCTCTCTCTCTCTCTCTCTCTCTCTCTCTCTCTCTCTCTCTCTCTCTCTCTCTCTCTCTCTCTCTCTCTCTCTCTCTCTCTCTCTCTCTCTCTCTCTCTCTCTCTCTCTATATATATATATATATATATATATATATATATATATATATATATATATATATATAGGGTTAGGTTCATTTGAGACCACCTATATTTTGTAAGACCGTGAGATTCATTTTTTTATTTTTTATTTAATTTTTTTTAGTTAATTCATGTTCTGAAAATAATATTTAAATTTTTTTTTTTTGATTTTTCCATTTATTTTGCATTTTAAAATTATTTTTACAATATGCACAATGTAATATTCTATTTAGAATATTTCACGTATTTAAAAAAAAATAGATTTTTTTTTAATTTTTTTTAGTTAATTCAAGTTCCGAAAATAATATTTAAAAAAAGAATTTTTAGATTTTTTCATTTATTTTGCATTTTAAAATTATTTTTTAGAATATGTCAGTGTAATATTCTATTTAGAATATTTCACGTATTTTTCAAAAAAAAAAAAAAACACGGAATTTTTTTTATTTTTTTTATATTTTTTATATATTTTTTAGTTAATTCAAATTCCGAAAATAATATTTAAAAAAAGAATTTTTGGATTTTTCTATTTATTTTGCATTTTAAAATTATTTTTAGATTTGGTCTCACGGTCTCACAAAATTAGAATGGTCTCAAATGAACCTAAACCTATATATATATATATATATATATATATATATATATATATATATATATATATATATATATATATATATATATATATATATATATATATATATATATATATATATATATATATATATGGGATAATTGAATACACTTTTTAAGTATATATAAGATTAGGTAACACTCATTATAACTAGGTAGTTTTGTAGTTTTGATTAGTGATTTAATTTTCTAAAAAAACAAATTATTTTTTTCCAGTATGTGTTTCCTTATTCACTGCGAAACTCAATTCCTCGATTGCGTGTTTCTTTTTGTTCCATTATCGCTGACGCTACTTTGATAATCCCTGGTTGCGAAAGAAAAAAAATTGTTAACAATCACAAAAACGATTTCAAAATAATAAACAATTTCAAAGGGAAAAAAATCACAGAAAGCATGGCTACTGCATCCCAAGAAGTTTCAATTCATAGGTCCATGTTACTTTTATTTGATCAAATGTAGTTGAATTCATAGATAATTGTGATTTAATTAATTACTGCTCTCATCGTCACAGGAGACTTATTGATGTTCTCCCCTTTTTATATTTATTTACATTCTTTTTGTTTCATATATAAAAGCAATTTTTTTTTTTTTATATTTTTTGGAATCTGTGGGAGATTATCGACTGCAACTTCAGCTTAAGTATCATCCATGGATTTTTTTTTATATATAATTAGTTAATGTAACATCTTAATTAATAGCTCTACGTAAAAAGTTAATGGCATGACATTAATAGGGTCAAATTCTCATGGTTTTTTACTTGTGTTCGTTGAAATAAGTGGAAATTTGCCAATAGTTGAATTACATTTAAAAGTTGTATAGATTTTTGTAATTTAACACACATTTTTGTAATTGTTACTATTTCTTTTGGCTACATAGAATTATAATGTGTGTGAGAGTAGAGAAGCACAAACACTGGTTTTCGGTTTCAGTTAATAAACCGGTTTTAGTTATAATCGGTTTGGTTTTTCGGTTTTTTGGAAGTGAAATTTTAGTTTCAAAAAAGCCTATATTTAACCGTCGGTTCGGTCTTGGTTGAACCGATTAAAAAATGGTTATAAAAAAACTTGTTCAATTATTTTTGGCCGGTTACAATTGTGCACTTCCATGTGAAAGTAGGATGCTAATAATGTTGGCTATTATAAAATGAAACAACAAAATGTGTCCAACCATTTGACTAATAATATTGCTGCTATAAAATGAAACAACAAAAAAGAGCTAACATAAATGAATTTGATTAATAAGATTACAAAATCCATCCAATTACATATAGAATTACAATGTACACGAGAATCATATGAACCAAATGAAGGATCAACTTGTTAAAACCTAAAAAACCCCCCCTTATTCCCCTTCCAAGTTCCAACTCCAATCCGACTTTAACTGGAGTCCCAACCGTCTGAACCCGTTTTCATTTTGCTTTGATTGATGTTGTGACCAATACACAACTTAAAAGTGATATGAGAATGTATATTCCTATCTTATTGACGTCAAGAGACTTGTTTGGGGTTGACCAAAAGCCAACCTGCGCTCCTATTTATAATGGGACAATTGTACAATGGTGTTGCGAAAACATTAGGCAACGAGTAAAAACAAAAATACAATAAAGATAATACAAATTTGATATAAAACCAACAAGAAACATAGCTTATCCACTCCAATTAGAAAAACAGTAGGCAATGAGTAAAGTTACATTATTACAATTCTGCTTCACAAAAGACAGATTTACCCCAGCAACTTTGAATACACATGTGTGAAATTCTTGTAAATTCACCTAAATGATGTTCGAGGTGGAAACACGTTTATATAAAGAGAAGTTTTCAGTGCCCCTACAATCAAGGGGATAATTGATACAGAGAATATGACTAAAAATAATTACAATTAGTATGGCTAATAACAAGGTAAATCATCCAATATCCCCCCTCAATCTGAATGGCGGGGGGGGGGGGGGGGGCAAGTCGAAGCATAGTACGAAGTGTCTCAAATTGAGCGCGCGAAAGACTTTTAGTAAAAATATCCGCCACTTGTAGATTGGTAGGAACAAATTCCGTGTATAGCTTGCCAGATGTAACAAGTTCCCTAATGAAATGGTAATCTAGATCAATGTGTTTGGCTCGTTTATGGGATATCGGATTTTGAGTCATAAAAAGTGCACTTTTATTGTAACAAGTATAGTTGGGCGGTCAGGAGGAAAAGGATGAAGCTCTTGAAGCAAATGAGTGATCCAAACAAGTTCAGCAGCCGTGTTAGCCATCACTCGATATTCTTATTCACAACTTGATCTTGAGACAGTCGGTTGTTTCTTTGCACTCCATGAAACAAGATTTCCACTAAAGAAGATGGAATAACCATATGTGAAACAACGTGTATCTAGACAACGGGCCCAATCTACATCCGAGTAACCAAGTAAGGATGATTTGTGAGGAGGACTAAATGTAAGACCAAAGGAGATTGTGCCTTTAACATATCAGAGAATTCACTTGACAGACTGATAATGATTTATAGTTGGAGCCTGAAGAAATTGACTGACTTGATTAACTGCGTAAGACAAGTCGGGTCTTGTAATAGTTAAGTACTGAAGTGCTCCAACCAATGAGCGATATAGAGTAGGATCAGAAAAGGGCACACCATCTGTAACACCTAAAGTTTGGAAGGCCAAGAAAGGAAAGAAACCCCTGATTTTAAAGGGCGACTTAGTGAGTTCAAGGACGAACTCGGCGAGTCCGAGCTGGATCCGGGTCGAGGAGTAAGTGACCGACTCGGCGAGTCGACCAAGGGGACTCGGCGAGTCTGGTCTGTGCGAGGAAAACCCTAAAATCGGGACTTGGAGCCTATTTAAACGTCGCATTCTCTCCCCTAGGGTTCCTTTACTACCTCTTTCACCCAGAACATCGGACCCTAGTTGCCATATCCATTGATTGAGCCATTTGTTGCCTTGGAAGGTGCATTGAAGCTTGGAGAAGGAAGAAGGAACTTAAAGGAGCAAGAAAGGACTATAGATCTGGGATCATGAGTTTATTCTAAGCATTTGGAGGTAATAAACTAGTTCTTGGACCATTTTTGCATCTAGATCTATGTGTGGTTGTTGGGGCTTTTTAGCCATAATGTTATTCTTTTGAGTTAGAAGCTAGATCTGAAGTTGCTACTTCAGATCTAAGCATATTATGGTCTTGAAAAGCATAAAGTATCAGCCCTTGAGTGGATCATGGAGCCTCTTTGCCTTAAACCCTAGTTTATGGTGTATTTTGCCTAGATCTCCTTCTCTACATGTAAAGTTTGCAAATTTACGTGAGGAATAGGCTTGGGAAGGGTAGATCTACAGTTTGGAGTCCATGCATGACTCAAAATCCCTCTGCATCTAAGGGGATCTGAATGGACTCGGCGAGTAGCATGAAGGTGAAGAGCAACTCGACGAGTGGGATGAACAGCTCGTCGAGTCAGATGAAGATTGCCTTGTACTCGACGAATCTATTCTTGGACTTGGCAAGTCAGGTTGCGAAACCCCAAACCCTTCGAGTTGAGACTCGAATCAGTGAGTCGGATGGAGACTCGGTGATTTGGACAGGTCAGGACTCAGAAATCGGTAGACTCGGCGAGTCGAGACGCGAATGGAAGGAATCTAAATATATGAACTCGGCGAGTCAATAGGGTGACTCAGCGTGTAGGGTTGACCTGGAAGGTTAACCTTGACCAGGACTTTGACTTGGACCAGAGTTGACTTGGTTGTCTTTCGGGGGTCAGTTAGACTCAGTGTTGCATTGATATTGGTAGTTCGGGGAGCAAGGGGAGTAGGAGTTCAGAGAGTTGCCGGACAGCAGCTAGTAAGTTCATCAGCAAGTTCAGCCAGTGCAGGTGAGTTT